TTGCGACAATTATACAATTTTTTTGGCTCTACCACAGCTCTACATAAAATCCTTTGACAGTTTGTCTTTCAAATACATGACATTGGCGAAATTGTGGTTACACTCTACCACAAAGCCATTAACCAAAAGTTGAAGTTGACAATTATACAATTTTGTCACTTTTTCACATATTTGTCGAAATGTCAGCTTCATAAAACGGGGCCCAGGAGTTCTCTAAGTATGTGTCGCGATCCAATGGTGGGTCGCAAGCGAATATTGAGTGGGCCCTTTCGGCTACAAATAATAAGATAACCTGACCGATCGGGCTCGCAGCCGGACGGCAACTGAGGGGACCTGGGGGGAACCTGGTGTAGTTTTTGTGACATTCTTTATCACGTTGTGTTGCGTTCGTTAGTGGGCATCCTTCTAATATTTTTAACATAAGTATTTAAAAATTAAAGTTTGTAGATAAAAATGGAAAAGTGATTGATGCGTATAGCAAAAACCACGTCGCCACTGCCGGTTGATTGTGAACAAAGTGATGAAAAAACAGAAGATGTTCTATAAATGACAGAAGTGGCACTGAAGCTTACTGCCAAGCTCTCTCAACGGGTTATCAAGAATTGAAACAACGGAAAGTTGTAAGAAAATATGATCCAGAATATCAGAAACTAGGATTCACTTGGAATCATGATGATAGAGCTAGTTTTAATTTAAAATCAAATAACGCAGATTTCGAAGAGCACAGAGGATTGTCCATTTTGTGCTTATGGAATTTTGTTTACATTTTTTGTATGGCATAGGGGAAAATGAGCAGACGGGTCAACTGATGGTAAGTGACTACCACCGTCCACGGACATCTGCAACTCAAGAGTCACAAGTGCATTGCCACCCTTCAGGTTCGCTTCGAATCAGGAGAATCAGAGACGTGAAAAGCAACCAATATATTTTGATTCGAAAATTATTTTAAAAACTTTCAAAAAATTGTGCTAATGCTCAAAATATATTTTATTTGTTTTAATTTATGAAAACTGTTTTTCTATTTTCTAAAATTTATTTTATATTCACTAATTTGATACCCCTGCTTTGCTTTTATTCATACGCATTGAATACAAAAACTAAATCAAGACGTTTCAATTCATATCTAATCCCGAAGCGTGATCATACCAATGATATAAACAATACGTCATTGCGTCATACCCATTTCATTAAATATTGAGACTAATGAAAGCGCCACCTGTACGCGCGGCAATGTACTCTTGCTGTAAAAGAGGACTTTATAATAATGGCTTTTAATTTTCATTCGTTTTAATATTTACCACTAGATGGCAGCAATACAAATTAATTGTAAAGTCCCTAAAAACAAAATATACTTTCCTACGAAATTAAAATAAAGACATTTTTATTTTTGTAACTTTATTCATTGGCTATTTATCTAGTCAATTTGTGACTCATTGTCACAGTGACTTCGTTGTCTACAAAACCGGTACTTCGTTATTAACAAGTTATGAATCCAAACTCGTATAAACACGCTCTTGCTTTTTCACGATACCGGTTTTTGTTTTAGGTTATGAATTTTCGAAAATTTATTTTATTATTCGGACATAACTAGTTTTATGGTAATAACTGTTTTCGATATCAGGGATATCACGAATCTCAAGCTCTCGACACACTATTGAATAGAACCGAGTTTCGATATGTCAAAATATACAACTTGTTTGTCACCGTGTCGGCGAAGCCATGCCATAACTATAGTGATGATATAAATATGTCACAAATCATAAAATACATTAAATAGGTATAGTATAGGTATAGCTATAATCTACATAATTTATAAAAGTACTTTATAAGTTAGGTACATGTTTCGGTTAAAATCAAATATTTAGACATGAACGTATAAAAAAAGTGCTGCGCCGACCCCAAATAAAATTGGGAAAGGGTAGGTAGGTATAAAAAAAGTCGAAGAGTCACGCTAACAAAAACTGTGTCATTCCTAGTCAGCCAGTTCGCCGGCCGCCAGCGTAAGTACAGGCTGGCACGCACACTTACACATATTAGTCAGCCATTACGCGAGCAAACATTGAGACAGCGAGACGCATTACGCGGCGAAAAAATAAAAATATACAACATGGTTTGCCGTAGTGGCCGGAAGAAAAAAAAACCAAGAATCATGTTGCATAAAGATTAGAATAATTCAATCATTTACTTCCAGATTTTATGCATTAAAATCAATCTGTATTCGCTAGAGCAAAACAATTCATTATATAGTGCTGCCAATTTTCACGTGTGCAAATTACCCGCAAGTTCGGAAATATTTTAGATATTTATATTTAGATACATAGGTTTATTCATAAAATAAATTTATTAAGGTGATTTATTTAATAGTGCTTAATTTCATATTCTTTTTATTAGATTTTCTAAGGAAAATGGAGGATGGAGAAATTTTTGGATGCAAATAATTAGAAATTGTGATGGTGAAAATGAAAGACAACACATATATTCTCACTAAAATTCTAGAAAAGTTTGTTGGCAATGAAAGCGTTTTTTTATACTTATAAAATAAGTCTTATTAAATATGTACTAGAAAAAAAATACCATTTGGTTTCTTCACATCTCGAAATTAGACAAAATTTCAAGAACCTGTTAAAGTAAAAGACATTATTTAAAAAAAACTCAGTATTTGAGGTATTGAACAGTAGAAACAGTAAAATTTTGAAAAATAATAAATTAATTTTTTTATTGACTGTGTTTTAGGGCATATATTTGGGTAACTAGGCAACTCCAAATTCATTTACACATAAAGAGCTGCCGCCATTACGGTGCCTCAGTTTAGGGGCGATTTCGAGGGGATTTCCGCACGGAAAAAAAAAAAAAAAAGGTGAGCGATTTAGCAAAAACGTCAATGATGGCATCGATAATGACATCGATAGCAGAGCATCGATACTCGATGTTTATTAAGCACAAAACATCGATGTTTTTTGCAAACACTCATCAATAAATAATACGACCATAAACTCGCGTGATTTTTTTAATTCAAATGTTGCGTTAAATGAAAATATTTGCTGCTGGTAACAAAGCTTTCTCCGCATGCCTCTTAAGTTGCAATCTCAGTGAATTCTTCTATCTGTTTGGTGTTTACAATAGGCTAGTGTCCACTAATACCAAATTGCTTGGTTTATAGTTTTAAAGTAAAAAGGAAGGGACAAAGATAAGTAAAAACCAGTCTATTTCTCATAAAAGTAATAATATTTTGAAATAAAGATTAATAATATTTAAAGATTAATATAGTTTCGTCCGTCCGTGTGGTGACGGATTAAGAATACAGAGTGTCACCGCCCCTATTCATCCCGTGGGTGACGTAAGAGCCGACTAAGGGAGTAAACTACGCAGAACAACAGCACTGCAGAGAGAAGGAAAACTTGATACAAACTCTATACCAACCCGTCTTGCCACCGTGGTATAGTAGGCCAAAACCTCCTTTCGAAGGAGAGGCTCTTGTCCAGCAGTAGACTGTTAAAGGCTGTTGATGTGATAGTTTTCATACAACAGAGCAGGTTACTCCCTTTTCCTTTTAGAAAACAGTTGACACTGGACACAGATGTTTAAATCTGTGTCCAGTGTCAACTGTTTTATTTCGCAGACTGTGACGTCATTCAAGACGCCATGACACTATTCAGCGTTTTCAAGGGAAATTTAAATTGTTTTTTCAAATACAAAATACGTAATGTTGTTTTTCTTTAAAATATAGGTTTTTTGGGATAAGATAGATATTAAAGTTTATAATTAACCAAGTTTTACAATTGAGTTAACTAGCCTATTGGAGGGGCACTGTTATGACAGTTTACAATTTGGTTAACAGCTGGACGCAGTTTTAAAGTAATCAGTTTCAGTTAGGATTGTTTCCGTAGATCATCACTTACTGCAACACATCGCTTTAACCAAGTGTCTATCCTTTTTACGAGTGCAATCAAACTTGGGAATTGATAAGTTTTTCAATAGATTTGTGCGCCACTAATTTAAGCAAGTGGGCTAAAAATGAGGAACTTTTTTGCCAACCGCAATATCAATAACTTTTTTTTATGTTAGAGGGGGCAGACAAGCAGATAGGTCACCTGATGGAAAGTGACCATCGCCACCCATGAACGTCTGCAACTCAGGGGTCACAAACACGTTACCGGCCGTTTAGGCAGGAGTACGATCTTTTCTTGAAGATTTGAAGGTTGTATCTTACTTTTCTTTCTTTTCTCCATCTTTCCACTTTCGTCATCACCTGGATAGTTGCTCTTCTTCTCACTACATTTGCTCCACCACAACCCTGCAAAGTTACCCTATTATACTTTCTTTCCCTATACTAATTTCGCTTTTAGTGCATGTTTTTCAAGGATTTTCTTTAAATTTATTTTCTTTAACTTTGGGTTAAAATGCCTTTACTGGTAAAAACAATATATACAGATATTATGTGTTGTTTTTATTACAGTTATAATTGTTAGGCCGAATACTGTTAAGTATCTTTGCCTTAGTAAAAAAATAAGCGTTGATTTTAGTTCGACATCTATTCTAAACTTAGTAGTGTGAATGCGAGATTTCTAAAGTCATGCATCTCTTTCTAAACAGGCACCACTTAACATGGGACAAAAAGAGATCAGAAATCTAATTATGACTGAACGTTTGCTTGGTGTACAGAATAGGTACCAACTGTGACGGTATTTCATAAATAAACGTCAAAATAACTCTCTCGATGCCAAGTAACTATTGTTGTTTTTATATTGTTATTTAATGTAAATCTTTTGAATGCATCGAGATTGAGTTAACCGCGATCGCGTTTACTTATTATTTGCTTATGATGGGCTGCTTGACGCGCTAACCTTCCTTGAATAAAGCGTATATAATCCCTACTTCTGAAAATGTCAAATAGTTTTTTAGTGTTTTGTATATAGTTCTTCTATAAAATGCATTAAAAACCGTTGCAATCATTTATTAATTAGTGTAGTGCTCATACTTGGTAGGATAAGGTGTTAATAATGGTGTGTTTATCAAGAAATAATGGTGTAAAGTGCATCGGTGAGGTTAGTTTTTGTTCCCGCTATTATGAGCCTCTTCCACTGATTTCCTGCTGCAGATTGGTGAGTAATAGAGTGTAAGTTTACTATCGAAGGATTTCTGAAGATATGACACCATCATCTTGTACCAAAGTCTTTTATTTGGATCTAATAAAGTGATATTTGTTGATCAAAAATATCAGATACAGATGTTCATTACTGAGCCTAAATTGGGATTGTATGTATGAACATGACTTGTAATAACTGTAGTATTACCACTTGATGTTAATAAGACCATGTATTTTTATTGCCATGACTTCTTTTCACCCTTTTCGCTAATTACAAGGTTTCATTTGTATTTAAAAGTTGTATAAATATTTTATCACAACCCAATGTATATTATATCATATGATGGATGCGGACTGCCCAAGACAGGGATGGCGATCCTTGGGGGAGGCCTGCGTTCAGCTGGGGACTGCAATAGCATGATGAGAACCCAAAAAATAAATTCTTAAGGATGAACTTCCATATAAATATTTACAGGTTTACAACAGCTTTCTTGATAACCTCATTTATTGGAAGAATGTTGTCTTGTTAATAGGTGAGTTTAAATTTACTCAATAGTTATTAAACTGATTCTAAATCTTTTAGCAATCAGTATGCCTATTAAAATAATACAAACAAACATAAACATAATATGTTTATGGAGATGTTTAAAGCGATGTGTGTCATGCGTCTTATAGAATTAAGGTATAAATTCGATTTGAGGACTGTGTTGGTTCAACTCCAACCCAAAATAAAATTCAGGATATAATTATAGTATTTAGGAAATGCCTGTGAAAAGTATTATCATACATCCACAAGATAAAGTGTGTGTGTAGTATGGTAACGGAATCTGTGTAATTGTGTAGCACTATTGACAATTACAAAGTTGCACATTATGGCTCTTAGCAGCAGTATACAAACAAAGATAATAATAATACAAAGGTATAAACTTTTATTGGTTCAAATCCAATATTAAAAATATTGAATCGGCTTAAATACATTTTTTTAACATGGAAATCAGTATATAAAGAAATGTGTTCAGTTACCCATATGGTGATAATACAAATTGTGATGAATTGATGATAGATGGATGAAATTGAATAAAAATGTTTTAGGATAGAGGTATACTAAAGAATATCAGGTTCAAATCCTGTTAAACAGTATACTATATCAGCATAGAAACTGTTATAAGTAATGTGATGGTGGTAATGGTAAATGATGATAATTTAAAATGATGATGGCTCTATCCCTTACGGGAATTAAACTTGGCAGTTCAAAATATGATGATGAACTAATAGGACTTAGTATTCATATATTTTTACTTGTACACCAGAAAAAACTTGATGCAGCAGTGGTTTATGATGATGATGATGATTTGAAATTATGGTTTGGTTTTAACCCCTTAAAAAAAATGAAACAGGTTCAAATATGATGATGAATTATTACGGCTTAGTATTCATATATTTTTACTTGTTCAGTAGAGAAAACTTACTGCAGCAGGGTTTAAATGATGATGGTAATGATGAATGATGATGATTTGGATTTATCCTTCAACGGACTTAAACTTAGTACTTTCATTTATGATGGCCAACCTTTAATTTATGATGGCCAACTATTAGGAGTTAGTAGTTCATAAATTCCACAGCCTATTATAGTCCACTGCTGGACATAGGCATCTCCTTAGAAAGGAGGTTTGATGATGTGATGATGATTTATAAATTTATAAAATTGTGGTATTTTATAATTCGGAAGTGAATATTTATTGCTGTCAAGCATGAATCAGGCCATTCATTTCTACAACCTTAGTTGTTTAAATAAGGATTATGGTATGAAGGTGATGATGATGATTATTATGATAGCAATATCCATGATAGTGATGTCAATAATTCTGATAGCAATGTCCATGATGGTGATGATGATCATTATGGTAGCAGTGTCCAAGATGGTCCATGATGGTGATGTTGATTATTATGGTAGCAGTGCCCATGATGGTGATGTCGATTATTTTCATAGCAGTGCCTATGATGGTGATAATAATGGTGATTAGCATAATGGTGATATTAATAATCATGATGATAGCAATGACAATGATGATGATGATAATAGCATTGATGATGATGATACTAGGGTGATAATAAAATTATGATTGATAACCTGATGATGAGCAATAGAACAAAATTAGTGACTATTTAAAAAAGATGGGGTTCAAATCCCTTTCTGTGAGTGTTAATATGGTTTTATTATCCATATCTGAGATTCTTACACATAGCAGATTGTTGGATATAAAATATACTGCTTCAATATAAATCAGTACATGGCGAGTCAAAATGTGAGTTAAATTCTCCTAATATTGTGTTTCGTTAAGGTTTTTAATAGTTATCGTAAATATTTATATGGAAGTTGTCTTTAGATTGTTTAATGATTCTGTGTTTTGAGATTTTAATTGATGTTCAAGTCATATTCATGCATGAATAAATGAACTATCTGTTCTGTGTTCAGAATTTCTTCTGTTTTCTTCATGACAGAGATATTATTAATTTAATAACCATGATGCCATTATATTATAAAAAAAACTTTATTTTTTTGTTTACATTTAATAGAAAATTATCACTATATACCGTTTTTCATTAGTATGTAAGAAAGTTTTTGTAAAATTTTTTATTAAATAAAGAGAAAAAAAAACAACAATTAGGGGCAATTTTGGAAATAAATGTTTGGGATGACTGGTCTATTTATTTACCCACCTTTTCCTTCCCCATATACACAATTTAGTTTTTCTTACTTTTAAGAATATAAAGGTATGTACATGTTTTCTTAATATATAACACTTACATTGAAATTAAGAAAGCATGTACAGTACAAATAAAATAGTTAGTAAAAAGGTAAATGTGTTTTATTTTTCCAAGGTAATATTCAAGGTAAAATATTCTGGTTTTGCTCACAGTTCCGGCTCAATTTATCCCTGGAAGAACGGGTGCTGGTCTTCTAATACTCAATGGCTTTACGTTCTATATGAAAAATCATCAAGCACACGGCAAAAAGCAATGGTACTGCTCGTCCAGAGATGTTCATGGCTGTCGAGCAGACGTTATTACGTACAAAGGAACAGATGGCAGAGATTATATATCAATTTTCCGTGGCCGTCACATACACGAACCACCGCGTTTGCGGCAGTGCCACGACGGTAGATTTATAAGAGAAAAATATTTTTTTAATAGACAATCACTCAAGTGATATTTTGATTTTTACTTTATTGTAGGTATTTTTTTGACTATATTTTATTTTATAGAAATGTGATGTACTTATTGTAAATCGTGTTCTTCTAACGCATGTTTCTGATGTAGGGACCTGCTAGTAAGTAGATAAACGGTTATTGTGACTATTTTAGGAAATACAGTATTCTGATTAACATGTATTGTTTTAATTGATATGCCTTATACATTATAGATATATTTCAATTAACTGTAATGGATTAGATGGCTTTAATTTTACCCCAAGTGTTCTGGTCATCAAATTGTGTGAAGACAATACTGAAACCAAACAATTTGTAACACGACAATAATGATATATGTACAAATAAAGTGTTATGCCCATTAAAAATATATAGTCTCTGTTTATTAAATAACTTAATAAACATATGTATCCCAGGTAATAAGACTGAAGTTATCTTTCAGGTATTTACTACTTACCGTCGCATAGAACCGGCAGTATGGTATTAATTTACAATGATAACAAGTATTGGATCAACAACAGATACCAAAATACCATCAACTGGACTTGCAGGGATCGCAAACGTCTCGGTTGCAACAGCTGCATCCAGACCACTATCGAAGGACGGTACATCAAGCATAAGGGTTTCCATAACCATGCTGATAATTACACAAAGTATAATTTCAATGACTGATGTCAAGATTGTATGTGGCCAGTCATTACTTCTGTTGTAAGCTTGCCAGAGTAGTTTGAGCAATAATGTAATCTTTTACTGATGCTAAATAAACTTAATGTTCATTAACAGTAAGATCATAATATGTTTTATGTATTTATATTAGTGTACATGATGTGCCTACCACTTTCGTGGCACTGCAATAATATAATTAAGACTTGGAAGATTGTTAACATTACAATTAGACAGTAGTAAAATGAACTTGCTAAAATTGATAGGTTCAATAGACAATGTAAGAATCAAATATCATATTTTACATACAAAATTAAACTAAAGCATTTCCCAATTACCATAGCAATAGCAATCTATCGTGGTAGGTATGCAAAAACGCGCTCAGTCTAATTTCTGAAGCTTTTACAAATATTGTTGATAGGCCACTAACAATTCTACTCAGATTTGTGTCAGTTTTTGTATAACATTATCTTTACAGTATTAAAACGCACGCCATTCAATGTTGCTTACAAATTACAACTAATATAAAATTGTTTGGTTACCACTAAAACAAGTTAACACTTGTGGGCACAACTGTACTACTGTTGGAGTTTAATTAAAGTGCTTTTAAGAGCCAGAGCCAGTACAGCCTAGAATAGATAGTTTTTGTTTTATCAATAACAGAAAACTCGATCGGCGATCATTTTATTTAAGCTGTTCAACAGAATGCTTTTGACTGGTCATAATAGTTTTTAAGGTAAAATATACTTCCTATATTGCATTTATATTGTAAACATTATGGAAATACTCAAGAATGAACAAAATGCACTACAAAGTTATTAGGATTGTTACTGAATAGAAGTGTTAAAAATTAAAACTTATGGTAATAGCGGAATTTTGAAAGGATTACCTTGCATTTGTAGATTATAGAGCTGTGAGAACTATCATTTTATAGTATTTATATATAACACCACCTAGTGGTCACTAGACATAATATTTATAGCTTAGTATTGTATTAGTTCATATCATATGAACAGAGATGGCGTTAGTAGTCCTAAAGATACTCGCATATGCTCAAATTCTAAGGCCTGTATTTTAAAAGACGTCTCACTCAAGTATTAGTAACTCTGATGATGTGAAATTAGTTTTAAGTTTAGATCAAAACTTAAGCATCGATCTTATTATAGAAAGGCGTTGTAAGTTTTACTCAGTTGAAACTAATCTCAAGCACTGATTTGAAATTGAAGGCGAACAGCCTTTAATTTCAAATCCGGTGCCGGTTCCGGCATGATCGAAATTATTATTCCGTATTATTAAAAAAAAATACTTTTACAAATATAACTTCCGTGAGTTTACATATATACTACTATAACTATACTATTACTACTTCTATATAAGTAGTATATAGTAGTAGTAATATGACTATATAATATACCTATTACCTAGTGTGGCAATGTAAACATATTAACAACCTGGTTGCTCGTCCAAAATTCAATTATCTTATATATAAAATTCTCGTGTCACAATGTTCGTTCCCGTACTCCTCCGAAACGGCTTGACCGATTCTCATGAAATTTTGTGTGCACATCGGGTAGGTCTGAGAATCGGCCAACATCTATTTTTCATACCCCTAAATGGTAAGGGTGACCCATCCCTAAATATTTTTTTTTGGCAAAACAACTTTTGCCGGGTCAGCTAGTATTACTCTAAAAATATTACACTTTTATCATAAACCAAAAGATTGTGGTGATTTAATTTAAACAAGTAATTGAATGTGAATTTAATTGATTATGTGTGACAAATAATTATTTCGTAAATAAAGTAAAGTAAATCGAAAAGAAAAAAATCATCGTAAAACACTCTCATTTTCCCCAAAAATGCTCTAGAGAACACTGCTTGAGACTAGTTTCAGCTTTATCACGAAAACAAAGATCACATCTGTCAAAATTTATACTTAAGTTAAGATTTCGACAGAAACATCGTTCTAAAATAAGCTATTACTCTGTGGATCGGTGGTCTTATTATAAGTGACGTTCTATAGTAAAATCTCTACTTAAAATCAGTTTTAATATTAGATTCACGACTGAGACACCTTCTAAAATACGAGCCTAAGTATGCTAAAGTTAGTACGTATGGTAAAATGTAGGCAATCTATACAATATTGCCTTTGTATTCATATTTATTCATAGCTATTGAACACTTACTTACCTAGTCATGTATGTTTCTCTTGTAATAATAACTCGTGCCAAATTGTTACTTAAATATTTTTTACAAATTTGTGTAACCTCGGTACGCTTTACTCATGTCCGTAGATACGTACAAGCATCTTTATGTATAATAATAATAAATTATTTCTCACCATAATTTAGTATACATGAATTATTTTAAATATACATATTACAATAACTGTAATTTTGTGAGAGACTTTTGCCTAGCCTAGGCCTAATAAAATTGAGAAAAATATAATTTATAGGGCTTTAATAAGGGATTGTTGATGCGACAGAAGAGTTATCCAACTCTTTACTCTTAAATAAATTACTTGTTAATCTGCCAACGATTTGCTATTTAATATAAATAACACAGAAGCAATATCTGCTGTCCGTGTGGTGACGGATTAAGAATACTGAATGTCACCACCCGTACGCTTGACGCGAATGCAAATAATCTGCTACTGAGATACTGCTATATAAGTAAAATATAGTTAAATTAGGCAAATACTATTTTACCTAGCTACCTACGATCGTGTTTTTGTGACAACATTTGCACATTTTTAGTCTAGACAGTCTTATACGAGGGTTGCTATTTATGTATCCGGAACTGGCCAGTTACAGAACAATATTAAATAGATTGTTGTACCTCAAAATATTGCGGTAACTTATAATGCAAGATCGTCATGTTACATATCGCGATATAGTGGCCTCTCTGGGAATAAGTATGACAAGTATATATAAAACATTACACGAACATTTAGCTGTAAAGAAAAATTTTTTCACCTTGGATTCTGCACAACTTGAGAATTGACCAAAAATGACAAAAAATGTTACAAAAGCTCAATCAGGGTGCGTCAAAATAATAATATCTACACAGGTGACGAATCTTGGATATATATGCGCATGATCGTGAAACTAAACAAAAATCAACGGTTTGGGTGTTCTAAGATGAGCCGAACCGAACAAAAGTCATTCGTTCAAACAAACTCAAAACAAAAAAACAACTCAGTATTTGGAAAATCTAAATATCGAATTAACGGGTCCTCCGCAGTACAGCCCTGACTTGGCCCCCAACGACTTCTTTGTATTCATTAAATACATTCCCAATTATATATTATATAGGGATATTTATACCCAACCGTAAAGAATAAATTAAGTGTTCAACGTTTTTCCAGCCGTGAAGAGGCTGTTTATGGTTCAAAATGCACGTTTTGGGGATATCACAACAAGAATAGAAAAAGTGCTACGAAAATTGGTTCCAACATATGCAAAAGTGCATCGATCATTACGGCAAATATTTTTAAAAACAATAAAACTATAATAAATGTTATATGTTTGTTTCACTTTGTTATTCCGGATATATAAATAGCAGCCCTCGTAGGTGTAGCGCTCTATCAAAAGGAGTTGACTCACTACTAGTGTTTATTACACATATAATAATACTATTCGGCGTTACATACAATAAACATAATTTGACCAAGTTAAGCTTGGGGTTGTCGAAGGGTTGAGCATGTCATATGAGTAACTAAGAATGAAATACTCTGCTGTCCCTTTTTCTCGCATTTGTCGCATTCAAAATAATCCGTGCCTAACCCTGCAAGGGTCCTTTTCTTGGGATCGCAAAAATGTTTAGTGCCTCCACTCGCCGTTCAAACTTCAACCCGGTTAATTTAACACGTATAAATAATATAATATTGTAATATTTTTAGAGGACAGAAAGCAATTTGGCAATCATTCCAGTCATATATACGAGTACTAAATGATGTATAATTTTTTTTAAATTTCATGTTAAACATATTGCATTGTTTGTAATAAGAGTAGCTTTTGTACGTATTTATACACGTTACGGAGATTGTTTCTTTAGCTCGTAGTAATAAAATGTATCGATCACCTTATAAAATTTCTTTTATTCCGTTTTTGTCTTTATAATGGTATTCAAGAAGTACTATTATTAATGGAAAGATACAGTGCGGTTTATTAAAACTTACGATTTTGATAATGAAGCAGAAGGGTTTGTCTTTTGTTGCACTTAAGAGCCTATTCTTAAGGGTAGGTATTTTGCTACGGCCCTTGAGAGCAGAACAGAGACTATTATGCAAATGCATCTGCAGAGAATTACTAAGTCTGAAGTCTGAAAGTGAACTCTTCTGGTTTTTTATCAGCCTTAATAATATAATTTTATCAAAAGACCTTGTCAGTGTCAGGTCTGGTTTGTCTCCTAAGATAATTAGAGTACAATAACAATATCTAAGGATTCTTCGTCTAAATGTTTATTGCAATAGATCTGTTGGTATTTGAGGCGCCTAGAGATATATAAACATTTCGTGATAGAGAAAAAGTGCATTTACTACTAAGGCCTTTGATTCTGAAGTTTTTCTTTTATCTTTTTTTGCGTCTACTATTTTTATGTATTATACCGGATATTCTTGACATTTGTAAATAGTTTTTAATTAATGAGTTTTATTAGTGGTGACAATATTTGGATAAAATCCAATTCTTGGGATGAAAAACTTTAATATTCTATTGGCGTGTCTCTAGGCTGTTCAGAATTTTGAACTGCCTTGTCTCCACTCGTTACATTGTAGACACTTTAACACTACTGGTTACATCACAAAGTTCTTTTCTGAATAGAAAAAATACAATAAACTGGAATTCAATACATAAAAAAAAAATGTATATTGTCTGTTACCCAAGATGGCGACCAGAATTTATCACATGATATGATCTAAATTTTCCCCAGAGAACAAAAAACTAATATGTGTCTTGTTTTTAGCAAAATTCGTCAAAACATTCTGTGGAACTCAAATAGCTATGTTCAATTCGTACAGCTATAACAGACAGTGTTTGTTAAAGAACGGAAGTCGCTGGCAATGTTCACAGAGATCACGTAAATTGAAATGTAACGCTTATTTAGTACTCCAAGAAAATGGACACGTAATTAAAAAGAACGATTTTCATGATCATGAGAAGCCGAAATTCCAGGTCAACAGAAACGGGAGTTATGTCAGGGTTAAAAATTCATTTCCCATAAACATTTAGCTAGTATGCCCAGACCTGACTCATCTTGTTATAGCAGAAATACGTCATTAGATAGTGTCTGTGTTATAATATACAGTCTTTCATTGATTTTTTAAAAAGCATTGTTTTTCTTTAATATTTCTTCACCATTAACCCAACTATTGTTGAGCAAACTTTATTAGGTAAGTATATATGTACTCCTAGTCATCATAGTGGTGACTGGTGGTGGAAAACCATATGCTTGGAATTATTACGTTTTAATAATAGTATAAAATGCGTTAAATACATTATATGGGTGAGCCGGCAAGCAAATCAAAAAAAGTAAAAATCTAGAATATTTATATTTTTTTATCTTGCTGCCAACAAAATATTACTAAAAATATGAACATGTAAAGCGGTTTACCAGTTTAATAAGCGACAAAGATATAGTTATGTCTATGTAATATCAAGATATGTTGCGTTGTAAATCAGGAAGTTGTTTTAACATGTATCCTATGGTTTGTCACAAAATGAATACTTAAACGACAAGATTTACTGTATCTTCATCGTATTTTTTCTTTCAACGCGCTATCAGTCGAATTGTTTATTTTTCATATACATAATAAATATGCCCGACATTATTATTAGGGACCATTGATTTTATTATGACCATTTATAATATATAATTATTTTTCCTCACATGAAATTAAAAAATCATTTGTAAATTGTATTAGGTGTGTGTCAAGTTTACTTAGTACTTGTTTCCCAGTACTTAAAGTGAAAATTATGTTATTTTAGAAATCGTTAAGTAGTTTGTTATATTATTTTGTTTCAGTAACATTCGTCAGTACAACAACAGGTGTGTTATTGGCAATGTATAAAAAGTATACGTTTTCGAAACATTGCAAGCTGAAAGCCGGAACTCGTTATCAATGCACTAGGAAAAATTCGAAGAAATGTAACGCTTACCTGATATTAGATAATACATTTAATAATATATTGAAGAGTAATACCCTACACACGCATGGTCCTAAATTGCATTATGTGACTAAAAATGGCGTCTATGTATCTTTGCGTTAGTTTAAGAATTTAGTTAAAAATGTAAATATTATATTTTCTTATTGCGCTTGTGACAAAATGTGTGTTGTACAATAAAAATAAATAGAAGTATTGAAAAGAAGGTTTAAGATATGTAATATTTTAAGAGTTATATGCAATTCAGAATTCTTGCCCGCTACGATGGGTCACTGAAAAAGTCAAACCGACAAAAGCAAATTGTACTTTAGGTACATGACCTAAAGTACAATTTGCTTTTGTCGGTTCCTTAGAAGTTCAATGCAGGAATTACGGAAATAGAAACTAATTTACTGTCTAAAATTCATAAACATTAGGTACTGAACTGAATAATTAAAAAGGTAAATTTGGAAAAATATACCCCCACTGTATGCACCCTTGGACTTGTAAGTGTAAAATTTTATATATGGACCAAGAGACTGGAGCTAATAAGGGTGACAACAGGGAGTGAACTTAGTTGGAAGCAGCAATTTCTCCCTTAAACGATGGAGCTTCCGTTGACCAGAAGCGAAAGTTTCCTATACAATCACCCCGTCATACGGGGAAGAGAATACGGTCCCTTTCACATATAGCATATCGTTTTATTTACTAACACGATTGTAGATCCAAAAACTATAGTGTAATTTTAGACAAAATATACCAGTGTATTTGAACAGTGCTTGCAAATTTAGTTTGTCTTGTTTTGTAGTCATTTTAATAACTAGAAGTTATTAATATTTTGACAACAATTTTTTACTAAAGCTTTATTATTTTCGTGAACAGCGATACCTTCTTATTTGTTTAACTGAGTTATTATAACAATAGTATACTGCAATGTCACTGTTTTATGTACTTCTAAGCTTACTTTCTTTAATTCTAGCTACCTACATTCGTACAACGAACAACAAAATTCAAGTTATGCTTCACCATTTTATGTATTGTAAGCACACTGCATTAAAAATTGGGGTAAGATGGCAATGCACACAACGCATTTCAAAGAAATGCGGTGCGTTTTTAATTTTAGATTCTAACAGTCACATAATTAAATCTAATTTAGCTCACACCCATTTACCTGCAAGATATTATAGAAACAGCGACGGCAGTTACTGTAAGGTATAAAAAATAAAGAGGTTTCAATTAATGTTTTATTTTCTTATAATATCTACAACGTTGTAGCAATCAGTAATTGAAATTACATACCAAGAAAATTAATTCGCAAGCAAGTAACGAAAAAATATAACTTTGTGAGCAATTAGATATTGCCAACTTTACAGGTATATACGTCGACACCTTTAAAATTATGCGCATATACCTGTAAAACTGTTTTTTCCTGACATGTAATTGCAATGATTGATGAAATAGGACTCGTCATAGCAGAGGGTTGAAGCTTTTGAAATGAGAAAATTACCTGTCTCGACTGCGTAATACCAGATTTACCACTAACAAGGATTTTGATGTCCGAACCGAAGCTTTTAATGTGGGACTCTTTCAAGTGTGCAGTCACAGCTATTGTCTGTAATGACATTTGATTACTGGCAAAAATCGTCTTACTTATAACTTTGAGTCGTCTAGGCTGTACTGGAATATGCAAAACTGATATAAGATTTTAGCACATTCTTGCCCGAGGTAGATATACCACAATATTATATATTATAAGTAATAAAATAGTAATGCCCAAAATGTGAGTAAACTTTAGTTTTTTTAATCCTTTCCCCATTTCAATAAAACATTATTACACTGGATTCTTATCTAACAAACCCTGCTCTTGATCAAAAATCAACATTATGTAACTTGTGGTTTTAATAATATTGTTCTTACGATGCTTGTATTTTCAGCAAAGTTTATCATGACAAATAACGGTAAAAGATACGCCATGTTCAAGCGGTTCACCTATTTTAAACACTATTCACTGAAACTGGGCAAAACAAGATGGCAATGTACAAAACACTTCTCCCAAAACTGTAGCGCTTATTTAATTTTGGACCCTCAAGGATATGTCCTGAAAAAGAATGATCTTCATACTCATAGCCCTGGCATGTATACGGCAAAAGATGGTGTTTATTACAAAATAAATTAGTATTGATTCTATATACATATATTAGTTGTTTTATTGTCTGCAGTTTCAGGTTCATATATTCATAGTTTTCTAGGCTCGCTATAAGTTGAAACTAAATTCTAATTTTCTTTAATCTAAGTCTTACCATGTCAAGTTCATATTTAGTTATAGTGTTTTAAATGTGTATGATATGATTTTTGCACTTATTGAAATTATAAATTGGAATACCAATAACCGTATACTATATACTATATTTATATGCATGTAATGTTTAAAGGATAGGCAGAATTCGTAACCTTTTCTGGTAACAGAATGTGACTGTTTGGACAACCTTATTCAGAACGAAGTAACAAACTTTATTTCACACATTATTTGATTGACCGTAAAAGTCAATCAACAACATTTAATATTGAGGAAACTATGAAAACACTTTCAACAGTACTCCTTTTTTGCAGTGGAATCTAAGAAAACATATATTGCTGGTAACTCTTTACTGCATATACCAGTAAACATCCCAGATGGAAAACGGCGACGTTGTAACGTTTGCTACAACAACTCATGTACAAGAAAAGCAACAAGATTTATGTGTCAAATATGTCAAATAAGCCTATGTATCGGAGCATGCTTTGAATTGTTCCACTCACAATACATCAACAACATTACATAGTCCACTGCTGGACATACCATTCGCTAACTCAGTATATAGTAAAAAAATTACGGGTAAATAGCTATTGTAGTTTTGGACATTTCATTCAGGGACCTGTATAACTTTCTAAGAACAATATTTAGAAAGATGATGCGTATAATCCTCGGATACCTTAGGGTTATCCCAGGTATAATAAGAATAGTTTGTGAAGCATGCAAAAATCATTAATTGAAAAGCATATAGCTACTTGTAAAGTATAGCAGGTAGCCACTTGACGTGATTTCAAACAGCTTTACGAACTTTCATGTTTCACCTTGTTAACGTACACTTTTTTTAAGACAATTTTAAATAACTTCCTCAGAACAACTCGAAAAAGAAAATGGCAATCTTGCCCGAAAAACTTACAGAATGATGTATTACATGTATCCAAGCCAAAAGTGCGATTTTTTATTAAAATTGTTAATGTCCTAACTGCTTCTATTAAAATATGTGTACGAATTGTAGTTAGTAGTGTTAGTTTGCATTTACAAATAAATTCTTTGTGGTTTCCATTACTTTAACTTACCTTTCAACTAAACTTGTAGATTGTCGTTTTGGCAATTTTACAAGCTACAGTATTAAGTAGTTCAAGGTAATATTTTAAGTCGATTAAACTTCTTAGAATATGATCGTAGTTTTATTATAGTGGTGGTTATTAATACTTAATATGTTTTCAGTGCTTCTGGTAAAAGGACGGAACGGCAAAGACTTGCTGATGCTTAACGGATACACTTACTACCAGCACAAAATCTTAAGGGATGGATTCCGGTGGAGCTGCACACAGATGGGCTCCAGATCCTGCCGTGGTTTCTTGCATGTTACAAATGAGATGATGGTCGTCAGAGCGTTTACTGAACATACTCATCCGCCATCGACCTATCTATTGAAGAGCACTAAAAAGCCAATGAGGATAAAAAATGCCGCGAACAACGAAGTGATCGTGAGTTGACTTTCTATATTGCTTTTTTAAAATGGAGAGTTCAATATTCAATTGAATAATTTCAATAGCTAAAATGAACATATATTTGCAAATTGTACATATTATTTCATTTTCGTAATTTGTTTTTTCTTGTTGCAGGCTAAAAGATCATCAGAAAGAGAAGCCCTGAATCCATTAGCATTGAAAATTGCAAGTATCCATGGGCGTACTAGCTTTTAATATTGCCTTAAAATAAGATCTGTAAATCTACTATGATATTGTTAACTGCCTAACTATCCCTAACTCTATATCCTTATAAATATCTTAGATAAGTAAATCTGAGAAAAATATAAATACCATTGTCGACGTAGTTGGTTATTTTGTGTAGAAATGCAAGTTTCATGGTACAGGGTCGTGAATTTGATACAGCAACTTTCTTTAATATGATTCAAAATGCCGTTCGCGTTTGTTGGATAATCTTAGATTATGCATAGAAATACGAGTATAAACAGTAAGAAGTAGGGTTTTCTGAGAGAGGATTAGTGTGAGGTTTTTTTATGTTATTGACACTACTCTACAGTAGTGACATACAGGTGCTTAGAAGTATACCCTGAAGTGTTTAAGACGTCTTGCCCAAACACTTTGTTGTTGCACACTAACCTAGTAGATATGTGATCAGAATTAGGAAGTATTGTTAAGATAGCGAATAATTGTTAGGGAAAAATATGTCTGTATGACTTTGACTCTGGATATAATTTTATGAACTGGATTTAATATGGATTATTTTTGTTAGTTCCATGCAGTGTGGGATCATTACTAAAATAAAATCATGATAATTTAGCTCTTATTGTATTTTTTCATAATGTTGGGATTGAGCCGAGTTTGCTGGCATCTGAGATTGGTTAAGAAATTTCTGTATCAGTGAGATATTAATTCATAGATATTCGATCACTTACAAATAAAACGAAAATAAAGGAGCAATATTAGGTGTTTTCACAGATCGGGCCTTAGTTGCGAAAATATAGGTAAAATACTTTTGTGCTAAACTGTCAGTTTTGACCAAGTTGCTCGCATCCTAAGGGGTGGATAGAAGAAAGCTCAGCGACTCATAGGTATTCATTGTTCTTCCTTTTTTTTACTTACCTAGATACTCCGACGGTAATATTTAATAAAATAACCTTGTCCACATTGTTGTTGCAAAAAGGAACCTTTAACTTGGGTACTGCAGTTATAAGCTCACCGAGAATTTGATAGTTATACGTAACACTATTTTAGCATGCATTGGCTCTTGCCGATTCTACATGTGCTGCCTTTTTTAGATGCTTTTTTTTCAAGATGGCGCTGTGCGCTAAATACATAATAATAATCGTGCAATCATATTTCGTCTTTTATAAACAAAAAATGTGTCGTTAAGTATTTAAATTTCGTAAAAAAATAATTCTTAAATGTAGTGTTATTTGTTAGCAAATATTTAAGTCTTGGGAATTGTAACAATAGAAAATAAGTATCATCATGGAATTTATAATAAGATGCAAGTTATCAGCTGGCACTATGTTTAATATTTAAGTTGGTTTTATTTCTATTAACTAATGCTTTTCTGTTAACAAATACTCTATGTTATTAGCCATATTTTGGTGTACACTACTTATGTAGAAAATAATATTATGAGTTAATTAGTAAGTAGCTTCTGACACACTGTCGAAGATGTAAAATAAGCCTTAGTCTGCAAACAAAAGTTATCAGGACTAGTAGCAGCTTTAGAGTAGAAAGATGTGCAGACAAAAAATAAATATATGTGTATTAAATGGGTTCCCTACTCGAAGTCGTAAAACTCCTTGTGACCTAAATTTTTGTCTTTCCCGCTTTCCATCCTTTGAACTAAATCTAACCTGCCCTTCGATGTTTCAAACTAATGATTTTAGAGCAAACGGGATTCGATTTTAAGTAAAGAACCTGTATAAGCTGTTTGTCAGATGAAAACCACCAATCACTGAGCACTCATGCAAAATCTAAGTAACAGCTAAAAACCTAATATTTGATATACCGTTTTAGACATGTCTAGTTCAAGATTTAGTATATGTGATATGTTCAAACTTGTGAATTGTTAACAAAAAAATGTGTTTGTCATTCACTTTGAGTCATACTTGAATTTCGGTGGTACTGATTTCAAAAAATTGTAGTTGAGTAAATGTATGTTTCATCTTACTGGACTAAAATGAACTTTCCTAGTAATGTCATAAGAATTAATTTCACTTGGAACAAATAAGGTAACTTGCCTCCATAACATAGAGATGTATAATATTACACATTGTATACGACAACGTCGTATTACATAGTTACTTTTAACCAATAAGTTTTTATAAATTTTTACCAGTCATCGTTTTAGAACAGTCTTAGGTGAGCAATTATACCTATATGTATGTATAGGTTTGTATGTTGGTAGTTAAAATTATAATAATTCACGCAAAGTACGGCTCTGTTAACTGACATTACTGGATATTTCTACAAAATGTTATATTTCCCTGCAATTTGTCTTTTACTGATAGCATTAATTTAGAGTATAAAAAATGTGTATTGGATGAATTTAAACATTACTTTATATTTTATTGCTTATTAAATGCCAATCAACGCTTATTTTACTTTAATCGTGTTTTAGGACTCATTTTACCCCTTCCTTTACATTTACATAAGTTTTGTTTGTTTCCACAAAAAAGATTCAGCAAAATAATTTAAACTTGTTTCTTTATGCCTTTGATATGCGTATTTGAAATACACTACGAAAAATAAACTTATACCACACAGAGACACACTCTCTAACTCTTATAGCGTGATTAACAACAAGTGGTGACGTTTACCTTTGGAGCTCCATAGCCTATGGTTTACCAACAAATTACTAGCACATGAATTCGTCTGTGAGATTCTTTGACATCATCACGAAATTCATCTACTAAGCACTTGATGAATTTTGAAGTGGTGACTATTCCTTCTGTCTCAATCGTCATAAGACCTGTTTTATTTATAAAACTCTGTTACCATGATTGTACACATATGTTGTACAATATAATATAATGCTCGTTTCTGATTTCGGTAAATACCAGTGAACTCTTATTTTCTTATGTCGTTTTACAACTGCTTGATTTTTTTAAATTCTAACCCATTACTAACAATATGTTTCTCCCCACAGTTGAATTCTACCTTCGGCCGAACGGGAGAATTAACCTTCGTTTGAATAACTTTACATTCTACAAACATCTTAAAGCAAGGAGCAACGCACACCGCTGGAGTTGCACCGCCTACGGCTCCAAATGGAAATGCAAGGCACACCTTATCATCACCGACACACTAGAAGTCTTGAAGGCAAACATCCTTCACAGTCATCCTCCAAGCATGAAGAAAGAAACTAGGCTGCCGTTACTAAAAGAAATTAAGAAAGATCTGAAGCAAGCATTACCTAAACCGATGCAGGGCAGGACGGATCCTGGCGCTTACTTTCGTACTTTGACACCGTTTCAGAATTATTTAGCAGCTCATAGCGTTTTTGGCGGTTACTAGGTAAGAGGCATTTCAATAAGTGTCAATTTTAATTACCTTACAATCGCATTTTGATTATTGTTTTAACTCTTTTCGACTCAAAATCGTAATAAATGATCGATACAAATGATTAGGCGATTCTAAATGTTAAGACTGTATTTTTTATTTTTATTATTTTATGTGGTACATATGACATTTTGTTTTAAATGCACGTATATCTACGGTAGATATGTGCTGGATTTTCAACTATTGTATTACAGATATGAAACCTGATATTTTGTAGATTCAAAATGTTTAGGGATATACTTCGGTCAGATGTGAAACTGATAAAACTGCGATCTCCTTTTGTTATTTAAACGTAAAATTCGTTCCTATTAATGGTATTAACTCGAATATAATGCGAAACTCAATAGTATTTTAATGACCATTGACAATCTGAATAACCACAATGTCTAATTTTTAAGTTTACGAGTATATTAATAAGTAATAATAACTGTATCAATGTAATGAATAGCAATGATACATCATAATCATTAAAAAGTGCCTTTTTACTAAATGTGTCTTTACAAAAATTAGATATAGGTAACACCAAGATTAGGCTTAACTTTTTTTACCTAAAACCTGTGTGATATTATTTGCATTTATAGTTTTCAGTATTAAACATTGTGATCAAAACAATTTATTAGTAGGAGTAGATGGTAGTGTGTATTTTTCAACCTAGTTTATGTAGAACTTTAGTATTGTACCGAACTAAATAGTCGCGATATCTTTAAAGCACATTATGTCTATTTTTATAACATATCCGTAACTTTATAAAAAAATATCTGATATATAAAGAACGATCTGATTATATACTTGCATAATATTCTTTGTATAACCCATTTTTACATACATATAAGTAGATGGTAGATGATACGTCACTATGTATTTTTATAATGGTATTCTTAAGCTTCTAGAGCTTTCTTTCATAGTTTTAGTATTCATGAGTAGTTGTGCCATATTCAGGACAACCATAAATTAAGTAGAACATGGTAGCAGCTTTTTTAAATTAAGTCTGTTTAGAGAATAGAGAAAAAGAAAGAATTTAAACGCATCATTCAAAAACAAAAAATTGAATAATTATAAATATTGTGTTAATAAAATAAGACATCATGATGTATACGTGTATACGAGAAAACGTCTCTAATAATTTGAATACCAACAGTTTTTATCACCTATGGAATAGTTCTAGAATCACGACAGTATCGTAATATCAGTGTACAACATGAGTGTGTTTTAGTTAAACGAACAAATATAAAATAATTGAATCAAACGGTACTTCAAGACGTTAAATATTTTATCTATATGTTTTATTGTAATAGAAATGTGTGCCTCTATATTACTGACTTTCATACTGTTAAAAGTAGAAAACAACGTATTGTGTGTCTTTTACATAATTATGTGATAATTATGAGGTACGTTCATATCTTATTTTGGATCTCATTTGTTTTTTGAAGACTTCATTGTACTGAAGACTGTCACCTAAATTCGTAGACTATTGTATACGGTATTTTTAGTCTTAATTTGCTCGATTCTTTGAATGATAACTCTACATTCAAAGGCTGGAAATGTATCTTGCTATGTTTTTCTGTGTTTTATGTTAAGTAATATTACCATTCTACTGTATTTTTATTGGCTTTTATTAAATTTTAAATAGTAATAACATGACTTTTCAAAATTATAATTCTAGTAACTAATATTGATAGTTTGTGCTGTACCAACTATCATCGCCATGACTTGGATAATGGCACTGCACCATCATGCGTTTCCCAAGAAACTTTTTGCCTCGCACCAATCTGAGAAATTGATTGTCACCTGCAGTATTGCTGAACCGTTACGAACTTCAAACCTTCCGGCAGAAAAAGCATTCTCCAACCTCAAATACTTGTGACTCTTGAGTGACATGTCTGCTCCTTTGCCTTCTGAATCATGGTTAAAAAACAATTATTTTCGCAAACGTAATTACTCCTTCTATGTTTTGAGATGTTCAGACTCGACTAAGCACGAGTTTAATCTCAGAAATAGTAAGCGTCATTGTGCTACAGAACATGTAACAATATCATTGAAGTCTCTATGCTATTCTTTAAACACAAACACCCTTAGGTCACTAAGTAATAAACTTAAAATTTTACAGGCAGCCCTAACGTGAAATTAATAGAGTTGATGAACGGTCGAACTCTTCTCTTGGTAAACGGGTATCCCCACTACAAGAAGCAACGCTCCAAGGATGGATCTCGTTGGTGTTGCAGCAAGGCTTACTGTAATGCATTCCTGCGTGTGAGCCATGATTTGGAGATCCTCTACATGAAACAAACACATGAACACCCGCCAGCTAAGTTCTTAAAATCAAGACGATGTGGAAAATATGTACGAATACCGTAAAATCTTCGGTTACCACTACTGCTGCAGAAGGCAATCTTATGTCAAAAATATTTCTGGAGCTTTTCATAACTTCCGAAAGCAAAGTAAAATACTCTTTAGATTAAATATTTTACATTGGAAACTAAATTAACCTGGCTGGTTTTTACCTGTATTTCATGAAACTTTGTCTGGCTATTCAAAAATCATGAGCTCTATTCAAAATTTTCGAGAATTTTTATGTTATGTAATGATTAGTAATGAACTGTATTACAATTTTAATCTACTTATACAATTGAGTTTAATTTCTGTGACCGGGGTATTCTTTTTTAAAAGCTTAGCAAGGGCAGCTTATTTCCTTGATCCTGAGGCGGTAGGTTTTAAGTCAATTTGTAAAATGTTAGATAATAATATAATGTACATAGGTACATATGTGTCCTAGACCAAATGTGTGTTTATTAATGTACGTGTACATATATTCTCCTTGATAAATAAATACATAATAATAATAAATAAATATTTTGGACATCTGAGTCACAGCGCCATTTAGCGTCAAACTGAGCAGAGCGTGTCTTATGAAAGTTAGATTGGCTGATAGAATACCCATATACTTTTTTTTGTAAATACATACATATCATACACAGAAAACACCCAAACTCTGAAAAAAATATTTGCAGATCATAAAAACTTTTGATCCGACCTGAGAATCGAACCCGAGACTTCAGCACAGCAGTTGCATACCCTACCACTGCACCACCGGGGCAGTCAAATGTTATATTTTTCTCTAGTTTCCGTTTGGCAGTTAATTTAAAAAAAATGTGGCTGTGTAGACAAGATCAAGCAAAGTTGAATAACGATGTAGTAGTATATGGTAGATAGTAAGTATATAGTAGATGTAGTATTCCAAATAAATGTAAAATTATAATTTAAATTTATCTCAAATTCCAACAGGATTAATTCAACTTGCTAGCGGCAAGCATGTGTTTCTTCTTGATGGTTACACATTCTACAAAAAGACTACTTTGAAGAGAGGTTCCAGATGGACATGCACCAATGCGTCTAAATGCTTAGCCTACCTTCACCTAGACAATTACTTAAATATCATTAAGGCGGAAAATAACAGCCATCCGGGAAGGGTATTTTACAAGGCTTCAGATGGTTTATATTATGTATACTCGTAATGAAAATAGATCCAAGATATAGTGTAAGTGAATTAAAGTTTTGGAATAGTATATTATGCTTAAACTGTTATGTAAAAAAATGATTTATATTGCTAGCGTTAGCATCGGTAAAAGTATGTGAAAAACTATTTGCAATATTACTCTTTCAAAAGGGAAGGAAAGCAATAATGTGGGTGCATAGACTTTAAGTTGAAATAGCTAAAAAATAAATAGATATAAAATTCCAATCAACAAAAAATCTTGAAAATACTGGTGCTTCAAACATCAATATATAGTCCCAAGACTCGATTGAACTTTTTTTTCTAAATATATGACCACTTCTAATAGACGAAGATGAATGTCTAACATTTTATTGTGGTTCTATCCGTTACTGTCATATAATAATATCTCTCGTAAAGTATGCGAATTCAAAGATCTACGCCTCTATTTCCTCTACCTCTCTGAAAAAGTCATCAATGAATTAATTTAAAAACGAGTAGCATACAAAAGGGAAATAAAATAAAACCTGCGGTACTCAGAAAAACATAATTACCTTAATTTTGCATGTACTTGTTTTAGGTACCCTGATCACTCTAGCGAATGGAAAGAAACTAATCAAGTATAAAAATTACACGTATTCAAATTTAGGTCGACTTAAAAACTCGTCAAATTGCCGATGGATCTGCACTACAAAAGATTGTGAAGCCTATCTTCTTGTATCTTTAGAGCTTGATATCAAACAAGCAATTAAGGGACACGAGCATAGACCACCAAAATATATGAAAACTGGAAATGTCTATGTTGCCATGGATTGGTTTGACAACTGAATTATTATTAACATGTTCCATGTTCCTTATGTCCCAAATGCAATGAAAGTTTACAGGAAAATATGTTTGGCATGTATAAGATGAATCAATTCATAAAATTATCATGGGTAAACGAAATTTAAGTAATACAATTTTTTTGTTCAAAGACGAGAGATTTAAAAGAAAGACTACGAAGTACATTAATTCGTCTAAAAAATAATTAACACCTAAAATCTAATACGAACAAGGATCACATTAAAAAGTTATTAATCTAAATAATAATTTGTTAATCTGAGCTATGTGTATGTGTGCGTGTGTTTATGTAGAAAACCCTATTACGTAAATAAGTTTGGATTGATTAAATACGTAAATCAGGACTAAATCGCGATTATAATTTAAAGGTTAGTAGGTCCCGGTCCACCCATAAATAAGTTCCGTTCAATTCGATAAGAATTCGGGGACGATAAGGAATTTAAACGAATAGACAGATAGGTACTCTTTATTGCACACCATAATTAGGATACATGCGATGATACACACCAAAAAAAAAACATTGATACAATGGGCGGCCTTATCGCAGACTGCGATCTCTTCCAGGCAACCTTTAGATGGACTATACTATTTAGTAATATGTAATCGCGGTCGTGTCCCGATTTATGCATTAAATATCTATACAATAAGGTAGATGACTGTCAAGTATAAAATACTATTTCGTGACGTCATACCTAGCTATTGTCAAATCATTTCTATTTAATGTTGATATCAAGATATCAAATCAATAAAAAGATTAAATTGATAATGGAGGACAATTCAGGCTCTACTTTAAGATGTTACTTTTAATAATGCAGGCGAATTTTTTTTTCAACCTAGCAATCTACCCTATTGGCGGAAGTTTAAAAACACTTTGAGGTCGTGTTTTTGTAAATATATTTTTAAGAAATAAAATGTTACATTTTATTTAAAAAAACATTCTGACTTTGAAATTATTAAAACTAAATCATCATTTACCCATGACATCTCATCATATGATTCTTTAGACCATATAGTGTATATAAATATATCTACCATATAGTGGCATTCATCTATGCTAAGCCTACCACAATAAAATGGTCCAGAAAGAACACGAATCAGAACATGTCAAAAGGTCTATTCGAGGACATGGAGAAATTTACATTAAGCTAGTAAGTTTACAAAGAAATAAAAGTAAAATAATAAAAATAAGAAATTATTTTTATAAAAATGGCCCTTTATTTTGTTTTAGGTACCCTCATCACTTTGACGACTTGAAAAATGTTGATGAAGTATAAAAATTATACTTATTTCAACACCGGCCGGATGAAAGATTTAATGTATTGTCGTTGGAGATGCTCTCAAGAAGATTGCAAGGCGTACCTAGTGATTACTTTAGATCTTGACATTCAACAAGTGGTTAAAAGTCATGACCTTCACGTTCAATTATACGTCGCTATGGATTGCTATAAATCATGAAGCCATTGCAGTGTGTGCTAGTTGGATATGGTCTTCTTCCAATCTGTCACCTAGTGCTGTCATTACAATAAATATTTTTTAATTATTGATTATTAGAAATTATCATTGTGTGCGGGTTAAACGGTTTAAAATTGCTTACTAATGCCCTGAGTTTCCAAATACCAATTTTACTTGTAAACTGTTACTTATTTTTTTGTAAACTACCAATAATTTTAAAATATTAATTGATCTTAAAAGATGGACCTAATGAATTAAAAATAAACACATTGAAAGATTAAGTGAGGATGTAAAAGAAGGTAATGGAATTCAAAACGTGTTGCAGTGAAATTGCTAAAGTTTTCAGAACATCTTTTTTCTTGAACCAAAATATTTGTGCATATCTGACTTCTAGGAAATCCATATCATCGTACATGTTCTTGATTATTCCGAATTGTTCCTTAGCCAGGCCAGACCAGGATTACAGTGTAATCGTTGATTTCATTTAGTACATGTGGGAAAACGCATACGAGATATATTCATCCTGCAAAAGAGTATCGCCACCTTGCTGTTATAGTTGCTATTAGCTTAAATATGTACAATAAAGTGCCATATTTTCAAATATTTAGTCTGCGCCCATAAAAAAGAGAGCCTATGCTCAGCAGTAGGATCCAGTATTATTCCCTCCTTCTTGAATAAATTTCTTTGTCTAATATTCGTTTTTCATTTAGAAATTAAAATACTTATCGAATCGATGTTGTACTTATTAGAATTCTTAATTTATGTTTCTTTTAAAAATGTAATTTATGCAAATATACCGTTTCCAGTGAACATATTTATGACTGCTCGAGGGAAGGAGAGGTTGATCTATCATAATTATACCTATTATAAACAAAGTCGGACAAAGATGGGCTTTAGATGGGGATGCACAAAGAATCGATGGCATAAATGCAAGGCGTACATGCACCTGGCTGATGACATGACTATCGTAAGGAGTAATATGCACCACACGCATAGTCCGTTCGGGCCTGAACTTACAAGGCTTCATTAAATGACAGTGATGGTAGCAGTCCAGTTTTGTTTAAATATTAAGAGGATGTGCCTACGCATTGTGATATTATAGAATTTATTTAATGAATTAAAACATACACATGCACTCATGCCTAAAACTCGTCTGGTGTAAGCAGAAACGATAAAACGCTATTTTCCACGATTTTGACGTAACTCACGCCTCTTCTAGTTATCAAGCCTTTCATATACGCTCGCCGATTACGGGTATCATTAACGAGGCCTTTCTTCAGAACACTGCCGATCTGGTCCCTAATCCCTCCCACACACCCACCACTGCAACTCTTGTTCACCAGGATCAACAGCAACACACCGAGTTATGACTCTCGGAAATTTGAACTATCTTTGAACTCGCAATGAAATTAATCAGAAGTAATTTGCAGGAGTTGAAAATATAATAAATCCACTTCCCTCCATAGCAAATCCTGATCTGGTCAGTGCACGTCGTTTGGGGCATGACGGCACCGAGTGTCCAACTCACAGGGCCTTATAAATTCTCAACTCTTGTCAGTACATCTTCTTTCAA